AGTCGGAGAGACCGAGTGGACGAGAGGCGAAGAACGGCGGCGCTTCTTCTGCTACTGCGGCGGCTGCGGCAGCTCCTGTCAAGCCACGAGCTGAGAGTAAATCAGGGCTCTCGAGGCGTTCACAATCCCGCAAGGCAAGTGGCGTCATTGCAAGCCAGCCGCTCAGCAGGGTGAACTCCTCTGTACGTTTATCCCAATCCTCCACCCGTTGGCCGACGCCTAAATCAGGCAACCGTGAAGCTGATGGCCGTTTACAGCAGCGGGTCGAGCAGGCTGGTCTCTATCTCATCCCCTCCCAGCGCCGCCTCGAAGCTATTTCCACTCTGCAAATGCTCAATCTCGAAAACATCGCCGCCAACGAGATTGGCTTCTCAGAAGCCCTCATGGCGGAAAACGCCGGCCGTGGCATTGCAGAAGTAGCAGTCACAGCACTGTCTGATCCTGCCCTCAAAGTCCGATATGGCCTCGCTCTAGCCGCGTCGACAACCGACGTCTCCTCATCGCTGGGCGCTTCGACTATAGTCGTCCTCGCAGGCAACAACAAGTCTGGTATTCGGGCCCTGGCGGCGGCTCGTCACTTGCGCAACAAGAATTTTGACGTCCTAGTCTGCCTCGTGGGCTTCGAGCGCGAAAAGGACCTTTTGGAAGACTTGCGGCGGCAGATACAGCTATACCGTGCATTCGGGGGTAAAGTCCACAACAAGAATGACTTTTTCGAACATCTCGGCAAATCTTCTGCTTCGGCAACCCCCGTCTCTGTATCTCTCATCATAGATGCGCTCCTCGGATTGACCATGTCCTTTGAGGAACTCCGCATAGGCGACCAAGCGACCGTCTACGAACTGATGGAGTGGGCGAACCGCAACGAAGCCTTTGTCCTGTCCGTCGACGTGCCAACAGGCATCGATCCTACCTCTGGTAAAATCGCCATCATTGACGGCGCCCACCTATACGTCAAACCGCGATACGTCGTCGCTATAGGAGCACCCAAGAAGGGCCTCCTGGAAGCCGTCACGCCCCCTCCGGACGGGGAGCCTGGCCCCCTGAGCAGCGGCGCCCACGAGGATGAGTGGCGACTGTTTATTGCAGACATGGGGCTGGGCAGCGCGGTGTGGAGAAAGGCAGGGACCAAGGTACGCAAGGGCATCGACTTTGATGGCAAGTGGGTGCTTGAGATGCGGTATCGCGGCGTGGAAGTCGACTATGAAGAGGATTAAGTCTGGTGCCTTCGAGATGATTCATGGCTTTTAGCGGGGGAAATGGTGGACTATAATATTCTTTATGTCTCTGGAACGGACTTGAGCGATGGTTTTTTTTTTAAAAAATGGGGACAGCTTTAAAATTGCATCATTTTAGGCGTTGTATTTACTTTAGCTCGTCTGGCGACGATGTATTACGATCCAAGACGTATCAATGAATACCCCTATGGGATACTTGAAGTAGTAACTGAATATTTTGGCGTGTGAGGGGGGCCAATAATACGCCTGCAATGGCGCTATATGCATGTTACTATTCCAAGGCTCTTGGCAAGGGATGAAATCTCGCCGGGGCTGTGGGCATGAGATGTTGTTACAACAAAAACCACCAAGGAACGGGCGTGGCCGCGTCACTGTATTTTTATGCGTTAGACGCCCCTATATTACCCCCTAGTTCCCGGCGGTTTGTTACACCGAGGACTACCTACGAGCATGGGTCCTGCGAGGCTGCTGCCGCTTGCTCGGTTGGCCCAGGGCAAACTGCCTTTTGATTTCCTTGACCGGCTGCCTTGGGGTGAAGCCGGTCTTGTGCTTTTCTTCGAGATGGAGAGTGTTCAACCTGTATGCTTGGCTCGACCGTAGAGCAGATCCAAATTTGCAGAGCGCGTGCTCGGGACTCGATGCGGTCGTAATCTTGCCGCTTGACTTTGAATTCCCTCCACTGTATTGCAAGTAGCTCTGAGAGCCTGAGATCTGGGACCATTGTTCGATACCGTGGGAGCTCCTGGACGGCGAATTCGATGGTTGGCGGCGTGGGCGCAGACAACTCGTCTGTTGGCTTCTCCTCTCGATCAGGGTCAATTAGGCCCCAAACCAAAGTTTATTAATCTGAGCGTGGATTTGCAGGTGGGTGAACCAAGTGTCCCAGTGACTTGGAAACTTGAGTTTCACCTTTATTGAGGGCATCAAAGACTCGTTGTAGGGATACATTGGAAGCTCGGAAATGTAAAAAGTAGGGACACACACAATTGAAGGCTTGGGGCGCTGTGGAAGTTGTAGGAAAGGTAGGCTTCCTCCCGGGCTCCCAACTGTCACACGAAAGAAAATAATAACGAAAACGGTCGTGGCCACGCCACGGTGGTTTATTGGTTAGGCCCCCGACATACTGCTGTGCGACAGATGTCACACATTGTCCTGGACTCCTGGGCTGGAAAGCTTCGGTTGCTATGATTACTAAGGTACCGAGTATCTGCGCTGGGCGTGACTGTTTCCTGGTACATGGACAGGGGGTAACGTGCAACCACGATGTCTTGACGGATAGCGACACGTGTTCCACAAACCTTGATATTCCCAGCGTACGACGGTCCCTTGAGCCGCTTCATTCGCAATGCATTATTCCCTGACGTGACAACGTAACATGTGTATAAACCTGCGGCTCGTGGCCCATCTTGGCACGCAGTGGCACCCCCTCCCCCCTCACCCCCTCCTTTTTTTCCCTCCCCAGGCAGGAGACACGCGATGGCCCAAGGCATGCGTGGTACAGGTCAAGCTTTGCCAAGAGACAATGGCATGTGCGGTCCAGGTCCAGGGCAGAAGGGACAAGTTGACAGGTTCAGCTGCTTGAATTGCTGTGTAAAGTTTAATCTCGGTGAGTCAGTGTTTTCCCAGTGCCAAGAAAAGCAGGTGTTTACGGACATGAGACGAGAACGAGCTGGCAAAGATGATCCGAATCATCAGGTTGAAATGTGTTGACGCCTATCACTTTATCAACTCTACGGAGTACATAATGGCCAATATCTGACAGTGTGGCGGAGACTCGGGAGTATCTTTACAGCTCAACCACCACCCTCGTTTTGTCTCCCGCAAGTGGCGCAAGTGGTGCGACCAGATTAAAGTGTGGCGACGAGTTGCTCCTGCGGCGCTTTGGGCGTGAGGGGAGGCATCAGCGCCATGGGTCAAGCAAGGCCGGGATGTTCTAGTGCGCTTCCATTACCCAGCGACTGCCGCCCAACCGCCTCAATTCAGTGAAGGTGCAAGTCAGGTATCGAATCCGGGTTTGCCAATCAGAAACCGTGCATTAAGAGGTACTTAGCCCCACCAAGAAATAATATGATGATAGAAGTACCAGCAGTCCCGTGAGTTACAAAGAGCTACATCGCACATATCGCAGCTGAGTGGCTGTCCTTATTGCCAAAAAGGTCCCCGCCAGGTATCGCAGAAAAGTGGAGACCGATACCTGGGTGGCACCTTATCACATTCAAAGGGATTCATCTTGAACTGTAAAGTCATAATGAGGTCAGCACAATAAACGCCAGAAACGGTGGCCACTAGAGGCATCGGCATGCGTCTTGATACAAAGCATTGGGTTGGAGACTGCAGACTGCACGTTGCACGTAGGTTTCGCAACGGTTTGCCGGCCCCAACGCCCCTGCCCTCTTGTATCATATTGCGTCTGATGTCCGCGGAGAGGTTTGGGCACATGACAGAAGTGGTTGAGAAACGGCACATAGGAGCTCCGTACGCGTGGTCCAGAGCAGGCGGTAGAATGGTCAAGGAGAAGGGAAATGAGGTTCATGCTGGCGGCACCGGGTGCAGAGAATTGATCGATTCATCCAGGGAGAGGGCAGGCGCCACGGTAAGGACTTGCCTTTTCCGCACCGTACTATTATGGCAAAGGCGGGAAAGACCAACCGCGTTGAGGACCAAAGAAGAGGGTTTAACTAGCACTTCCGCGAGGCCTTGAGATGGAGCCGGACTCCTGCCGTGTTCGAACAAATTGGCCCTCAAACGTTGTCACCAGACTCACCAGACAGTACATACTCGCAATACTCCATGTCACCACCCGGCTTGCCACTGGCTCAACACCCCAGCGCCGTATCACACCCGTTGCCGATATTCTCAGCTTTGGGTGTGCACCGCCTCCACCGTGCGGAGTTTTGAATTGGTCCCAACGAATCAGTCCATTATTCGGCCCATCACGACTTTGGTTCTTGGGAACTAGTGTCGCGGCGTCGGTACGATAAGATGGGAGAGAAGACAACTTGGAGCACATCACGAGAACCTATTCATCGGCCCTGGGCCACCTCATCTCCTCCAGCACTTGGCTTTGACACGATAGTCATTGGTGGCCTTGTCAATCAAGCTTCTCCCCGTCTGTGAACACAAATGCATGGCAACGGCGACTCTCCACAGCCAAGAAATCCAAATTGAGCGCCATATGTAAGTTATGTACGCACCCCGTACTCCGTACGGCGGACCTAGTTCCAACCTCTGGTTCTCTGCCCCGCTGCGGCCGTTTTGATTGGGGACAACGGCCAGTAATTTTTCTGCGTGGACCAGGTCAGGCATGGTGCTCCTAGTTGACGTTGAACGGTCCGAGCCACCAACCGCTTCTGAACTTGGCCGTCGGCTTCGACCATTCAGACACGCAATTCTCTCCAAACTCAACTGCAAGCTTCACCACCACTCGTATCAGCCTTCGATTCTCTGCATCCAGCGACATACCGTATGCTCCTTGCACGTTACCAATTCGCTTACCGACCGTACCAGCATCCTATTGACGCCTGCAGTGTCTATCTGCGCGACCTAGTGCGAGTACGACTCGCGCCAATCGTGACGTCTCCTGCGCCTTCCCCTACGTGCATCCGCAATTCATTCACCAACGTCTCGCTCCTCCATCGATGGCGCGGCCTCGCTAGAAACACCATCTTCCTTCGTCTGCACCTTGCCGGCACCTTGACTACGGCTGCGCCGCCGCGAACCTGATCCGGTTCCTGCGTCAGTCGGGCAGAGGCAAGGCCAGTCATGTCGACGACGGCGAGCATCGTCCCGTCCGGGACCAGGACCGTGTCTCTAGTCACGTCGCTCGTCTCAACGCCCCTAGCGACGACTTCATCGGCGATTCTTTCCGCAACCACCACAGCGCCGGATCCTGCTGCGACTTCGACCTACTGGGGGGATGCGAGTCTGAACTCACACGACCAGGCAAACTCGCCTTCTGTATCGAACCTGCGCGAGCCTTTCTATGCGACCACAGTACCCATGTGCTATGCCCTGGCGGCCACAACTGTCACCTCGTATATGCTTCTCATCATGCTCTTCATTACTCCCAGGTCTTTCTTGGATGGTGGTGTTGTGTATCTCGGCCGCCGTTCTGGCTTCACTCACAGCTCATCGGGTGGTGACAATATTGGTGGTCGGCCATGGCTTCAGAAAGTTGCGGCCCTTACAGTGGCAGTCTCTCTAACTATCGCGACTTGCGACACATTTCATTTTCTAGCCGAACAATACAAATACGGCGCGCAAAATGCCTCTGTCCTGCAGACAGAGGTTATGGGAAGTGTGGAGCTCAGGGTCATTCGGCTCGTGTCCAACTTTTTTCTCTGGCTGGCTCAGGCCCAAACGTTGATCCGACTATTCCCACGCCACAGAGAAAAGGTCATCATCAAATGGGTGGCATTTGCTCTAATTACTCTCGATCTCATCTTTTCCGCTATCAACAGTTTCAAGCATGGCGACGTCAACCAGAACTATAATCCAATGGCCGGGGGCTTCACACATCCTATCCCGGCGTTGAATTACATGTTTCAGCTACTCCTGGGAGTTTTATATGCGGCTTGGGTCATATATTATGCACTAATGAAGAAGCGATATGCCTTCTACCACCCCTTGATGAAGAACATGTGCCTTTTGGCAATTATATCATTAACCGCTATTCTCATACCTATAGTCTTCTTCATTCTTGATATATCTAACCCTACGTTTGCACGTTGGGGCGACTACGTGAGATGGGTTGGGGCGGCGGCCGCAAGCGTTATCGTATGGGAATGGGTTGAGCGAATAGAGGCACTCGAGCGCGAAGAGAAGAAGGGAGGTGTCCTCGGCAGGGAGGTCTTTGAAGGAGAAGAGATGCTCGAAGTGAGCGCTCTGGATTATCCATGGGATGGAAAACGAAAGCACCGAAAGAATCACAGCTTGGGGGGCCTCGGAGGAAGTGGAGGAAGGGGTCATGCAAGCAGCCACGTCAACGGCAATGCATATAATGGCGGCTTTGGAAGTCTAAACAACCGTAGTCGCACGCAGTCCAATGGGCGGTCAACTATATCGGCCATCACTAGCCGACAACGCCGCACTACGGCACCAGGCCAGGCTCCTGAGCAGAATACACAGCGAACGATTGGGGACATTTTCCGGCCTCATTGGCCTGCGCGGCCTGCTGCCGCCATGACCCCGGTCAGCAGAACAGATACCCCCAGCGCCGCGAGCACGGTGTATGCTGTCCGATATCAGCCTTCGTCAGAGACAACAGGCCGTACGCCAGACCTCTTAGCACGGACACCAGATTTACACACTTCACATATTGAGCAGCAATCACATTCTCCTGCGAATACGAATTCACAACCGCTACCTCAATCTTCACCACCAGAACAGAATCAACAAACCACTTCAGAATTAACCAGACAAAACAGTTCCCCACAGACTTGCCAGACTCGTGTAGAGACTTCATCGCCCAGACAGCAAAGCGGCCACGGAACACGGCCATCAACAAACAGTACACTGGATTTAGAGGCAAACTCGCCAATGCCGAGTCGGACAGACCGATGGCGAGCACTGACACAGGCATCCAGCCGCCGATCACCAACGCGGCAACGGCAGGCGTCCACTCGAGAAGTGAGCCGGCATGACTCAATGGGAAGCCGGTGGGACATCAAATCAAGATTAGAGATGTTTGCGGCAAACCAAGCAGACAAGATCCGCGAAAAGCTCCGACCGACGACTGACACGGACAGTCTGCCGGTGACATTTATCCCGGCACCTCCACGGCATGGCACAGCGCTCGAGCAGGTACTAGAGGAAGAAGGAATAAGCCGGCGGTCCACGTCGTCGGATTCAGACGATGAACAACCAAGGATTCAAGGTCGGGCAAGGCATGTTGGCAACGGTCAGAGTGGCGATCTGCCTGGCGGTCCATCTATAGACTCAGTGAGCCCTCCTCTCTGGCCTGGAGTCAGACGGCGTCTAGTGACGTATGAGAACGATGACGAATATTCCTACACGGATGAGTCTCTTGAATCGAGCAGCGACGAAGACGCCAGGGAGGATGAATCGGAGGAAGACTCGGGGCCTCCAAGAGGTGGTGGCACTGATGAATCAGCTCACAGATAATAAATAGCTGTGCCGGTTGGAGAAGGTCTGCCTTGGGTTTTCTTTTGTCCCCTTTTTTTGTCGAAGAATTATTTGTTTTTCTAAGCGCGGCGTTTGGAGCCCTTTGTGGCATACTTGTTATTTACAGGAAGGGCGATGATGGGTTATGTGCGAGGGCTTGTTACATACACGGCGGGTCTGAGTTTCAGACATGTACATGGCATTTCGCGTCTTGTTCAGGCGGGTGGAGGTTTGCAGCATTTCCACGATATCAGCGGCTACGATTATGAAATGGAGCAGGCGTTCAGGAGTAGTGTGTGTGCGATTGGCATGCGGAGAGGGAGAATTAGCCGGCTAGAGCATCGGTTGGTTGGCGTATTATATTTGATACTTGCACAGGACCATGTACATAGATGTGCAGCATGCAATTCAACAAAGTTGAAATTTACGGCACATGTGGCGTCTTGATATTTGCGGCGGGATAGTGAGGCTTTTGCTTTTCTGTTACCCATCAGCGACCAAGTGGACGAGCCACGTACCTAGGTAGTTATGTAATACGCTTGTCCCTGCAGCAAACCCCGCCCCTGGTCGGCACCCTTGATTTGGGTCTTGGCGCTCTGTATGATTGGCCAGGTGGCTTGAATTGGCAAATTACGGAGTACGGGATGTGGAAATGCATCAATTTCGTCGGACGGCATGTCAGAGTGTCCACGCGACTCGGTGGCCTCCGTGATTGCCGGGGTTTTTCTCACTCTTGGGAGCGTACGCGGTGTGGTATGCGGATTGTTTTGAAACATGTTGCTTGGAGAATCGGGATTTGCGGAATTACATTGTAAAGAGGGATTGCGTAGAGTTATGGCGTAGAGAGAGTGAGTGATGACGTCGTCGTCGTCGGCTCGACTTACACGTCGACGGGACAAAATGCCAAAAAGGCCTATTACCTGCATTGCGCGATGAAGACGGCAAAGCGCGCATGGTATCAGCCGCAACAAATACAATTGTGCCATGTATTTCTACCTACGAGGACTGCTAGGGCTGCGCCGCTAGGAAAGGGGATAGATGTATAACATGGCCAAGCCATTAAAGACGACTGCATTCAGCCCATGCGGAATAGTCCAAGCGTTGCAGATGAGGTACTACTTGGCACAGGGGGAAAAAAAATTAAAGGGACATCTAGACCGGGAGAAAAAAAAAAAAAAAAAAAGGCTTGCTGCGAAGTTGGCATATGCGACCTGACTTTTATCTTCGAACGTCTCGCCACCGCGCCTCGGCCTCGGCGTGGCAATGAGGAGGCGGCCAAGAAAAGGCAGAAGATCGAGGAGCACATGGGACAGATATGAACAATACGCCCCCTAAATCCTCGGCTCGGAAATTTCAAAAATATGCTATGATGCCATGGACCTGCAGGAAGGCGGCAGCTGTCTCGATTCAACGGCCGCAAAACCAAACAGGGAAAAAAAAAAAAAAAAAAAAAAGGCCTGTACTCCATTCAGCCGCGGCGACGGCAATCTAATCTCCCTCCTGTCCAACCCCCCCTCTCTCAAAAAGTTCCCCCACCGACTTCAACCCTTTTGTCTGGTTGCTCTTCTTCCCGTCCCCCGCCTCTCGCCAACTCTCCAACATCGAAAAGAAAGGCCGCAACACAAACGCACAGCAATCATGTCGGAGCCCTTTCCACTGCTCAACAGCCCCGCGGAGCAGCTGCACAGCCTCGAGGTCGAGGGCGCGAGACGGCGTCGGAAATCCAGCGGTCTCGGCAGCGAGATTCGCGCTGGCGACACTGGCGCCCCGGCATTTGCGTCGAGCAAGGCCAGCCTCGACCAACACCACCACCACCACCACCACGACGGTCACGGCGACTCGAGAAATGGCGCAGCGGCAGCCTCGTCGTCGTCGTCGTCGTCGGCATCTCCCAACGGCAGCAGCGGCAGCAGCAGCAAGCGTCTCTCCAGACGCCGCCGTGCGCGCGGGCTGCTCTCGCGCGTGCGGCAGACGTGCGTCAAGCACACTTGGGTGCTGCCCCTGGCCACGCTCTGCCTCTTCCTCTCCGGCTACGCCGTCCGGCCGGGCGACGCCAACCCTCTGCACCGCTTCATCTTCCTCTCGTACCGGCTGCCGCAGGACGACCCCTCGCGGCCGGCCCTCTACGGCAAGGGCCCCCGGGACGTGGCCTTTGTGGCCTTCTACACCGTCGTGCTCTCCTTCACGCGCGAGTTCGTCATGCAGGAGGTGCTGCGGCCGTGGGCGCGCGCCGCCGGCCTCAGGCGCAGCAAGCAGGCGCGCTTCATGGAGCAGGCCTACACGGCCGTCTACTTCCTCTTGCTGGGCCCGGCCGGCGTGCTCGTTATGTCGCGCACCCCCGTGTGGTACTTCAACACGCGCGGCATGTACGAGGGCTTCCCGCACCGCTCCCACGAGGCCCCCGTCAAGTTCTACTACCTCTTCCAGGCCGCCTACTGGGCCCAGCAGGCCATCGTCCTCGTCCTGGGCATGGAGAAGCCGCGCAAGGACTTCAAGGAGCTCGTCGGCCACCACGTCGTCAGCCTCGCCCTCATCGCCCTCAGCTACCGCTTCCACTTCACCTACATGGGCATCGCCGTCTACACCACCCACGACATCAGCGACTTCTTCCTCGCCACCTCCAAGGTCCTCAACTACCTCGACCACCCGCTCGTCGGCCCCTACTTCTTCGTCTTTGTCTGCGTCTGGGTCTACCTCCGCCACGTCGTCAACCTGCGCATCCTGTGGTCCCTCTTCACCCAGTTCCGCACCGTCGGCCCCTTTGAGCTCGACTGGGCCGCCGAGCAGTACAAGTGCTGGATCTCCCAGTACATCACCGCCGCCCTGCTCGCCTCCCTGCAGGCCCTCAACCTCTTCTGGCTCTTCTACATTGTCCGCATCGCCTACCGCTTCGTCAGGGACAGCACCGCCGACGACGACCGCTCCGACGACGACGACGACGCCGACGCCGACGACGATGAGCCCGCCAAGCCCGTTCCCACCTTGGAAATCAATGGAAAGGCTGTCAACGGCAACTCGCATTAACAGCCGCTGCTACTTTTCCATCTACCTCCTCCCTTTTTTTTCAACTCTCTTCATCTTGTCTTCTTCCGGCCTTTTCCACCTCTTAAAAAAGTCTGCCGACCTATAGGGGACACCTCCCCCTTTATTTTATACTAATCTGTTTTATTCTCACCATTACCATTATACTACTCTCTGTGCGTGTCGCAAAGCATGAGACGGCGTTGGGGAAGGCAATCACACTCGCTTACAAAGGGTAACGAACGACGAGGGGACGGATGCATGGCATGCACTGACGGAATTGACGCATTATACGGACCGGAGCGTGTCTTTTTACTTCTTCTTTGGCAGGCGGCGTAATGTGCGCGTGTACGATAGTGTGGCCGCTTTTTCTGTTTAATATAATGCATGTATGTATATTTGTAATTTTCCAAGGCAGGGGGGGGCGTCGTCACTCGAGGTTTCCTTCATGGGCCATGTGTTGACGAGCAACAGTGTACGTTCTCATCACATTTCGACACCCAACGTCACCACGTCAAGTCTGTTCATTCCTGACCTAGCCTCTACTTCGTACGAGCTAGCGATACCTGTCCAAAGCAAAAACAAGAAAATTAAAACCATCAAGTCCGCTAAACTCCGCTTGTGACAAATGTCCCCCCCTCCCCCATATTTCCTGTCGTCAACCGTGCCTGTGCGTGTGCGTATTATTTTATTTTTCCCATCCGTGCCCGGAGAGAGAAAGAAAAGAGAAAGGAAAAACTGCAAAGACAATGTCTTCGAAAACAATAGGCCATCTTTAATGTCCCATATTCTTATTTCAACCCACCCCTGCTGTCTGATTCTAAGTCCCTTCCGGTTATACGCATTGCGCTTCGTGCCTCTTCGCATGCAAAAAGAAAAAAAAAAGAGGACAATTCTTCGATTTTCGTAAAGAAGAATGCACATCCTGTCAGGTCCAATGACCAAGAAGAAAACTTGCTAAAGACAAATACCCCCTGCTATGATCCATCACCAAACCGCCGCTATAGCAGGCGAGAATGTCTCAGAGGTGCCGTACGTAGCGCTCCCGGTCTGGTACTGAGATAGTCACCTCACGAGTGACGTCCGATGAGTCGCAAAAGCCGATAAAGGAAAACAGAATTTTTGCCGGGCTTCTACCAGTAGCCGTAGCTAGCTACTAGTGAAGGCATCAGGCTGGATAGAAACTGAAGCGCGCATGCTCCAAGTCCAGAAAAGAAAAATAGCTATGACAACAAGCAGACACTGCTCCAAACGCCGGTCCAATGCAGTCTTGATGAGGTGTCGATCGTAATGTAGGCGAAATAATCAGGAAATATTAAAGAAAGAAAAATTGCGTCGCACGAATGCATTGATCGTTTCAAGCACTTTGCAATAAGTTCCGAGACTGGGCCGTAGCCAAAGCCTTGCATTGCAGAAAAAGAAAAACAAGGAAAAAAAAAATATCAAATCGTGAAACCAACGCTCACAGGATTGCTTTCTGTACTTGACCTTCTCGCACAACAAAATGAGTTGATGAGACTTCAGTCTACAGGAGCCTGTAGTCTAGCCAAGCCTAGATGTTTACTCGTCCTTCATGTTGGTCATCTTCGTGATCATGAGAATGAGTCGACTCGGCATCGGACGACGAAGATGACGAGGCCGAGGTAGTTTCTTCTCCCATGTTACCACGACTCGTGGCATGGCCAGAGAGCGTCCCAGAAGAGCCAATGCTGTGATAATCTTCTATGGTAGCCTCCTCTGGCGTCTTTGAGCCCATGTTTGCCCGTCGCACGGCCCGTGCCGCTTTCAGGTGTGCCTCTCGGGCAGCATCCAAGGCCCGTTCAGCCCGAATCTGCTTCTCCCACATCGAGGCATACCGTCCGTTGGCGTCCAGTAGTTCGTCATGAGTTCCTCTCTCAACGATCTCACCAGCGTGCAGCACGATAATCTGGTCGGCGTGAGTAATAGTAGATAGCCGGTGTCTGTTCAAAATATCAGCA